TCTGTTGTGCAGAGGGTCACTGTGAGTCTGAACTGACTTGACGGTACCTAAGAACAATAAGATCTGTTTATCTGTCCAACTGAGGAAACCAGCAGGGGTTGCAGGGGAGAAGTCCCAGCCATAAGGGAGGCCCCTAATCTAGGTACCTGGTGAGGCACTTGGCAACCTTTGTGAATTTTCACATCTCCAGTTGACTTCACAGGACCATCCACAATACAGCCTGTAGAGCAAATCGCAGAGCCTCGGAGCTGGAGGGCACACAGGCCTGCCCAACACTCTGATCTGACAGACGGGGCTCTCAGGTCTTGAGCAGAAACATCTACAGGTCTTTCTAGAAGAGAGTGTTTTCTGGCCATTGGGTATGAAAGCTTTACTTTAAAAAGCCTGGGTTCCCATCTCAGCCCTTCTATTCTCAGGGGTGTTTGATCTTGGTCAAGCTGTTTCTCCTCCTCTTGCCTCCATTCCCATATCACAGAACAGGGACGTTCACAGGACATCAGAAAGAAGTCATGTAAGGCTTCTAACATAGTAGCCTAGATTAGTAAATACCAGCTGCTATCATTACTACCACTAGCTAGAAAGGCCATGGTCAGAGGCTGGTCCCTCACCCTGACCAACCATCTCCTGGTTTCAAGAAGTCTGGACAGTCCAAGACAAACCCTTTCCATCTCACCTTCACGGGGAAAATAGAATCCACACTGATGGTGTAACCTTTGAATATGAAGACTGGCCTCTCTAGGGACATGGCGAGAGCAAGGCAGTATTGATTCAATCCACAGAGCAAGTCAGTGCAAATTACAGACCGAGCAGGAAAGAAGGCAACGGTATCACCTTCAGCTGCCGATGTGACTTATCAAACTGCCTCCACACAAGTTCTACTGGGCTGACTTAATGAGTGTGCAAGCCCCATCTGTAATTAGCAATGCCCATTTACGTGCCAACAATTCATATGCGAAAGTCAAGATTCATCCTCAACAACAGCGTTTAATTTACAGAGTAAATTGTCCTTAAACACAATTTATGTGGCAAGCTGCTCCTGTGGGCTGCCTGCTTAGGTGAAATGCAGATTTGTTGAGCAAATCCTTTCTTTGAAGAAACGCCCGCCCCCCTTCCTCAAAAGTCAAACCAGTTGCTATGGAGTCCATTCAGACTAATGGCAACCCCAGGTGTGTCTGTTAAACTGTTCCACAGGGTTTTCAATGCCTGGGTTTTCAGACAGATCACCAGGCCTTTCTTCCAAGGTACCTCTGGGTGGGTTTGTACCACTAACCTCTAGGTTAGTAGCTGGGCACTTAACAATTTGCACCACCCAGGGACTCCTTTCTTCTGAGAAATGTGCCAGAATTCATTAGAGCCTCAGCCTGGGTCCCAGAAGCTGGGAGGGGCCATTAAGAACCAGGACCAGCCTTTGAGATCCCGGATGAGTGTGTGTGGACCCCTGGTGTGAGAGCCCCTTCATAGTCATGCCCAAGCAGACGTGCCCCAACTCTGTTTCAGCCAGATCCTAAGTTACCAAGGGACATGGGCATGCTTTGGGAATTAGCTGAGTCCCCCACGATGTGGCATTTCTTCTTAAAGAAGTGTTTTCCCCAACAGTCCTGCTTGGACCCTCTCTATACGAATCCCAGGGGAGCTTGTGAAAATGCAGAGTTCCTTGCCCTGGTCCAGCTGTTTCAGATTATATCAAAATATCATTCACACTCATCACTACTTCAAAATCACAGGGTCATCAGTGCTGCTGCAAGTCTCGTTAGATCATATGTTAATAAAAAGTGTACATATCACAATACCACAACTTAAATGAAAAATGTCTTGATAAGTGAATTTAAATCTAATTGGTTTCCTTTGTAATTCTATGTACTTCATTTTATGCATTTAAAATTACTATTTTGAGACAATCCATAGGCTTTGCCAGACTGCCAAAGGGGTCTGTGGTGCCAAGCTTAAGAACAATTTACGCCTGGTCACTGAAAGAGCCTGAGACTGGCAGTGGTTATCTCATGACTCTAGGTGCTTGAAGAAAATGGAAGTACAATTTCCAGATTCAGGCTCCAGGAAAGCATTTTACAGGGTGGGAGGCACACCATGGCGAGAAGTGCCTGTCTTAGGTACAGGGAATTCCTTTGGGAACAGTTGCCTTGTGGGTCCTGAATCCTTTCATAATTCAGAACTTGCTGGAATTTCAATAGCAATTCATCCTTAAATAGTCCTTCTGAGATCAATGCTCCAATTCCATCAGGAACTAATTAATACACAGCTCAGTTGTGTGATAGTCAATTAGATCATAAGTAAATACAGTTTCATTTTTCTCTGGTTGGCCAGACTCAGAGAGCACAGCCCTGAATTAGGGGGTGGTCAAGCACGGCAGGTCACTGCCTAAGCAGAAACATTCCATCCATGACTATCTCTCCCATCTCTTCACCTTTCTGCCCCATCCATCCGTCCGTCCATCCATCCTTCCACTCATTCTTTTAACAAATCTCCTGAGAGCCTACTATGTACCAGGCAGTATTATTGGTTCTGGGGTTATTTCAGGGAACAAAATAAATATCCTTGCACTCATGGACCATACATTTTAGTAGGAAGAGACAAACACAAAAAACAAAACCCATAGTCATCTAGTCAATCCTGACTCGCAGGGCTCCACAGGACAGAGCAGAACTGCCCTATGGGTTTCCAAGGCTGTGAATCTTTACAGAAGCAGACTGCCTCAGCTTTGTCCAGCTGGTGGGATTGACCCTTTTGGTTAACAGTTTAGCTCTGAACGACTGCACTATCAGGTCTCTTTTAGGAAGAGATAGACAATTGAAAAACTAAATAAATAAACGAGTAAAATAAACAAGTATGACTAGAGAAGTGGGGGATGGCAATGGCTGGCAATAGCATGGGGTTTCATGCTGGGCTGATGAAAATGTTCCAAAATGGATTCCAGTGATAGCTGCACACTGTGTAAATAGACCAAAACCCATTGGACTGTATACTTTAAATGGATGCACTGTATGGTATGTGAATTACATCTCAGTAAGCTGTTATTTAAGAACAAAAAATACATAGACTATGTTATGGGATGATAATTGCTAGGGAGAAAAGGAAAGCAGTGTGGGGGCTAAGGGCCCTTGGGGTGTTACAGTGGTACAAAGTGGTCAGGGAAGGCCTCATTGAGACTGCAGCACTGGGGTCAGAGCAGAAGGTCATTAGGGAGCCAGCCATGTGGATATCTGGGGGAAGAGTTCCAGGCACAGGGAACAGGAAGGGCAAGGGTCCTGAGGTATCCTGGTATGTTCAAGGGACAGCCAAGAGGCCAGGGTGGTTGGAGTTCAGGGGCCAAAGGGAAAGTAGAAGACGACAAAGTCTGAGAGATAAGGGGGTGCTGTAAAGCAATTCTCAGGCAGCGGCTTTTCCTATGGGTTGGATGGGGAGCCACAGGAGGGTTCCGAACAGAGGAGAAATAGGATCCAACATACATTTAACTGGATCCCTGGGGCTGCTGTGCTGAGTGGGGAGAGCAGTTAGGAAGCTAAGCAATTACCCAGCGGAAGATGATGGTAAGAGGGGAAGGCAGTGAGAACTAGTGGGGTTCTGGGTGTATCTGAAGACAACCTGATAGAATGGATATATGAAGGAGGGTGAGCGGTCAACTCAAAGGCTTCTGGCCTCAGCAACTGAAGGATAGAGCTGCCATTTTCAGAAGTGGGAAAGACTGTGGGAGGGGCAGGGTGGATTGGGACTTGAGATTTGAGCACATGGGTTTCAAGCTGTCAGTTAGACCTTCAAGGAAGAGGCCAAGCCTAGAAGTCCAAGAAGAGGCTCAGGCTGAAGATCTAAGATCTCACGCCTTGTTCCTCATTTGGTTGGTGCAAGATCCAGGGTCCAAGATCCTCCTGAGACTACTGTCTTGGCTTGGCCAATAGCTCTGTGCACTGAGGTGGAGGTGAGAGGAACATATGGGTCTTAGAGCCAGGCTGCAGGGATGTGAATCTGAGTTCTGCCCCTTTTTGGTGGAATTGCACTGCCAGGCAATTCTTTTTAGTGAACTCAGTCCTGAATTTTACAATCTGTAAAATGGGGACAGTAAGATGAAATGATTACAGTTAATACACGTAAAGTGCTAGAAACCTAACAAAGATAGCCATCATTACTAACTGTGCCCTTATCCTTGGGTAGCACAAATGGTTAAGTGCTTGACTACTAGTCAAAAGGTTGGTGGTTCAAACCCACCCAGAAGTACCTCAGAAGACAAGCCTGGCTATTTGCTTCCAAAAGGTCACAGCCTTGAAACTCCTGTGGAGCGGTTCTACTCTTCACATGAGGCTGCCATGAGTTTTGAGTTGACTTGACAGCAACTAACAACAACAATAACCCCTATCCATAGGAAACCACCTGAAAACATATGGGAACAAAGGAAGCCAGGGGAAAGGTGTCCCACTGTGGAATTCAACAGTAGACAGTCGCCATTTATGTAGCATCTATTGTGTGCCAGGAGCTATGGCAAGCCTTTTCATGGGCTTTGGCTCACCATATCACTCCAGTCCACACTGTGAGTTA